CAGACAGCCGGGCTCGGTGGCTCAGCCTGTAATCCCGCGCCTTTGGGAGGCTGAGGTGAGTGGATTGCCTGAGCCCGCGGGTTCGAGACCCGCCTGGGCAACTTGGCGAGACCTCATCTCTACAATAAATCAAAAATTAGCCAGGTGTGGTAGTGTGCACCCATAGTTCCAGCTACTTGGAAGGCTGAGGCGGAAGGATCGCCGGAGCCCAGCAGGTTGAGGCTGCGGTGGCCAGGAGTGTGCCACTGCCCTCCAGCCTGGGTGACAGAGTGAGACTCCAACTCAGAAAAAAAAAAAAAAAGAAAGTAAATGAGAGACAGAAAGAAAGAGAGAGAGGAGATTCATCCCCCAAGGTAGGGGAGAAAGTCAAAGCTAGGAAACATGTTGGCCAGTGCTTAATAAAACAATGGCCAATTCATTATATTTTAAGAAAGAAAGTGTTTTAGCCACTAAAAAGATAATGCTGATGTTCACATATACTTTGTAGCACAGAAACTTAGTTTCAGTTCTTGTTAAAAGTTCTAGCATAGGATCTGGTACTCAATAGCTAATATTTATTGATTGAATGAATTAACTTTTAAGTAAATGAATGAATGAATAAATAAGTGAGATGTTGTGGAAAAAATCTTGTTTCAACAGCCACTTTTGGTAGATAGCAGACTATCCTCCTGTTATAATACAACTAGATCCTGAATAAATGACAATAAACGTACCTTTTAAAACATAGCTTACATGAAAGCAAGAGAAAGTCCCAAGGGCCAACATGTAACAAACTAAAGGGAAAATGATGAATAGTGAACACAGTTCTAAGTTAAGCAGCAAATGACAGTATCAGCCCTGGGTTCAGGTAAAGCTGGGGAAGTTTGCCATGAGGTAGAATAGCTGAACTAAGAAAATCCAAATCATCTCTGGAGGAAAGCAACTCAATATAGATACTAAGAATACCTGTATATTGAGTTTAATCAAATATAAGCTTACATTCAAAAATCACTAACCACCACAAGGAAACTGGCCAACACGAATGAAAGTAGAAAGACCAGATTTATAACCCAAGAACTTCAGCAATTGGGATTATGAAAAACAGATTGTAAAACAACTGTGTGAAGTTTGTTAAAGAA